ATAAATTAGCTCTCCCTTACTTTTTAACGAGCTCGAGCACGGTCAAACGACCCCAACCAGCAGCAGCGGCAGCAACAATGCTTATAAAAAGCAAATGATGCGGCAAAGTGGCCCTTAATTATTAAATAAATAAATTAGGCCAGCAGAGAGCGATCCTAATCGGTATGCTAGGGCATCAATTTGAAAAAACGCCTGCAACATCCTCGATAGTATAGTGGTTAGTATCCCCGCCTGTCACGCGGGAGACCGGGGTTCAATTCCCCGTCGGGGAGATGGGATGTAGATATTTTGTTTAAATTTTATATTTTATTTAAGTTACTTTGTTAGAATTTAGAATATGTTAAAAAGTTGTATTATATTTTACGTTTTCTTTAAAGACAAAATCACACAGCTAACAAATAAACAAAGCTGCTAGATTTATTTTGCGAGTAAAAAGCTATAGAAAGGAAAAATTAATGTCAAACAAAAAAAATGTTAAATTAATACTGTGATTATATTATTATATTCTTTGATTATTAAAAGAAAAAAATATAAACACATCCTCCCCGACGGGGAATTGAACCCCGGTCTCCCGCGTGACAGGCGGGGATACTAACCACTATACTATCGAGGATCTTGATAGAATTCAAGCAAAGATAACCTAAATTCTCAGGTAACATCACTAATAGTATAATCAAAATTAGATTACACACGATCATAAACTAAATATATAATATATATAAATTTATAATCCTATTAAAAATGGTTTGCCAAAGAAATAAGCTTCAAAGTGCTTTATTATCTTTTGGTTAAGCATACAAAAAAATATGTATGTGCTTTCTAATAAGTAAATATGAAAATACATAAGTTTGCTTTAATAAAACCATTTAATACATGTCATATAAATTCCTAATAAAAAAAGTAATACCTCTTTAAGTTCCAAAGCTTTAAAATTTCCGAAAAATGTCCCCGGAAAATTCAACGAGATACAGCCCGTGGGGTATGGTGGAGATGCAGGCAGGATTCGTAAAGGATGAAAATGCCAACACGGTGTGAAATTGAAGCGGTCTGTGAGGATATGCAAATGCAGCTTGGACCTGTTTTTCAGCCGTGTGTTCCCGGTTCACAGTCTACGCGATGTCCTGCCGAGTCCTTGACATTTTCCGCTGGCGCCAATGTCCAAAACCCCAGTGTCCTCCCTAGCCCCTCGCCCCTCGCCCCTCCATGCCCCGTGTCCCGTTCTCCGCCATTCGTCAGCATTTTAATCGCGTTTGTGCATTTGCTTGGAAAAGTCTAAAATTGAACGCAAGTGATGGCAATTTGTACGCTTCGCTGTGCCCGAGAATTTACGGTCGGTCGTGTGAAGGGAAAATTCGAAGGAAACTGGAGGGGTTGTGTCTCCCAGGGTCTCCCTGAGTGTGCCGAAATTAATATGCGTCGGCCTTTTGGGAGCGGGACAAACTTTGCCGGCAAGGGATTTGGCCGCTGTTGGCCATTTTCGGCTTTTTTCCTTCAGTCCTCCACCACTTCGACGCTGCCGGCAGCGTTGGCTCGTGATTAATGTGGCAAATGCGCAGTTATAAATTATTTATTACTATTTTTCGCATTGTTTCCTGAGGCGTGTGCGAACTGGTAAGACATTTAAGCCATATTTTCAAGTGCCACAAAGGCCAAAAATCTACGTGGCCCTCGGAGTTTAATATTCAAAGCCACGAATTTTCCGAAAAACGGAGGCCTCGGTTAACACAATAATGTCTTGTAATATATTGAGGGTGATGAGGGAAGATTTTGGAAAAGCCCTGAGGGATCAATAACTGAATAAATTGGAGGCAATCGAAAACCCTTTGACACTTTGCTGAAGGTTAAGGGTATTTGTTATAGAGTAAATCTATTGAGAAAGTCAAGGAAAGCTTCTTGAAATTTAAGGAACTTATTATTAATATCTAGAAAAAAGTTTTTCGAAATTTCTCCCATTAAGACCCACTGTGCAAGTATAGCCCTTACCCTGAAATCTTGATTCACAATGAAAACATTTAACAAATTAAACGAAAAAGCCGGCTAATACGTGTTTCCCCTGCAGCACCTTTTCGAAATGACGTTGGGTTTTTCTATTAGTTCTGTTCCTTCCTCTCCTTTTTTTTTATTGGGAAAGTTTTGTTCTCTGGCTGATCTCAATGGTTTGACACTGTCAGCTATAGAAATTTATTTCACATGCACTTTTTAAATCGAACGAAAATAGATTCCTTCCGCCATATTGAGGCACGGTGAAAGGACCGGGGGAGTTGAGTTGGCCTGATGTCGTATATTGGTGGAAAAAGCAATTGAAAACTTCATCATGGTTACAACAATATTTTTGCAGCGAAATTGGCACAAAAATGTTGTCCACGAACTTTTTGCGCAAAGCGTTAGAAAAACTGGGCTAGGAGGAGCGGCGATATTGGGTAAAGTCCCGGGGTGTGGGGGAGTAAACTTTTGTGCCAGTTACCGACCACGCCCACGTCAACCCATGGCATCAACGCCCTGTCACGAATAAAAACTGAATTGATAACATTTTTCTGCTTGTTCTGGTTTTTTCGGCGACTTTTTTCGGTATTTTTTTTGTATTATTTTTTGTTTGCAAGTTGGAACTTTCCTAGACTCCCACCGTCCATTGTTGTTGCTTTTTAGTGGGGGGAGGGGTTGGGTTTTTTATGCGACGCCTCTGTCCGGGCCAATTTGTAATCTAAACAACATGGCCCAGGCTAACCAAGGCCCCAACTCTGGCCAGAATATCCTTAAATCCTGGCAAGGAGAGCGCTGGAAAACTGACAGCCAGCAAATGACTAAAGACGCCGGTGGATGTGCGGGGGGGATGGCGTATGTAAAAATGTCGATTTAATATTAGCACCATGAAGGGAAATCAAAGTGGAATAAGAACAAAGTAGAGGGCACAGGGAAGCCAGGATAAAATGTAGAAAAAGGGAGTGGACTCAAGTATACCTCTTAAGGGAATAAGTCAAAGTTTTAGTTCTGATAATTATTAAATGCTAATAAATGTTTACAGAAATTATATATATTTAAGCTTCAAATATATTCTTTTAATACAAAGTATTAAGAAATTTAGTATTTAAATATAAAATCAATATATAATTCAATCTTTCATTATAAGCATCAATACAATCTACAAATTTTCCTTATTAGAAAAATGTCACAAACCCTTTTCGGTTACCGATACTTCTGCAGAAAACCGATATACCCCTGAGGTGCAAAATGTAATGGGTGCATAAATGGCTGCAAGCAATAAAGAAAATGGCGGCTGACAACAGCTTCAGGTTTTGGCTGGTTCTTTTTTGGCCAGGATGTGGCAGCTTGTTGATGATAAACTCTTATGACCCACATTGGAGGGGGTTCTCGCGGGGTGCAGCGGGGGTCACGAAAAGTGGGCGAGTTGCCAACATATACACATACACACTCAAGCATATATAACCCCCCCACACACAGCTGCATCCGGCGGAAGTTGGTGGCAACACTTGGAAACCTCTCACACGGATGGAGCCACACGGGCGAGCGAGCGCGCGCACACATACACACTCTCAAGTTAGTTATAAACGTTTATCGATATTATATCTATTCGCCGCTCTCACATTCACACTCACAGTGTCCTGTGTGCTCCTGGCAAAGTTTTCGGTGGCTGCAGACAATGAAATGCAAACAAATCACATCGCGAAAACTTCACAACATGGCGGCAAAGAATGTCGATTTATGGGTGCCAAGTGGAAATATTATCAAAACTATGACTTTGCTGGCCACTTTTCAGGAAAGGAGCGAGAGCAAAAGAGAGCTGAAAGGAGCAAGATATTGCCCGCAGGATGCAGCCAGCAAATGCGCTTGTTTATTGGCTGAGCTTCTGGTTGCAGAGGAAGTTACCAAAAATAAAGCTGAATTGGGTGCTGCTCTTCAAATTTAGATAGAGAGAGACTTTAGAAGATCCTTGGACCCTTGGTTATTTTAAAAGTTAAGTAAGGAAACTTTAGCTGGAAAACAGCGAAGGACATTTGAATTAATTCTCCTTTCCTGTACTCTGAAACAGGTCACTTAACACACCTGGTCTTGGGTCATAAATATCAATCATATTTCGATCACATGAGATATAATATTTTTCGAAATCTTTTATCGGTTATGGTAGCCAACCAGGCCCCGGGAACCGAAATACATTTCTCACATAATTTGCAGGTTGGCAGACGGGGCAGCCCAACAATAATACTAAAAATTTATCATGCAACCTCCTTTCCTCTCCTCAAAAAAAAAAAAAAGAAATAAATAGAGGAAGAGGTGGAGTGCTCACGTAAGAGAGGTATTGCATGATGAATGACAATTTTCAGCCGATTTACATGGCAGGAAGGCAATGCGATGAGTCCTGGCTCCACTCTCTCGCACAGTAACATTTGCACAGAACCCGGTCGGGCTGAATTCCTTGCATTTTTCTCTCGTATTGCAAATGGCGATAACTGGCAGAGCAAAATGGACAATTCGCATACAAAATGGTCGTCCACAATAAATTATTCGGACCGCATAACAACAAAACAAGGACTACATATACAAAGGACACAGAACAGCAGCAAATGGGTGCTTGTGGGTGTGTAAAAAAGTTCACTAGAAAAAGTCGGATCTGGACTTTGTGTTGCATCAACAACTATTTTTTGCTTCATATAATAACTTTGCTTTAAGGTTTTAATTTGGGGTATTTTTTTAGATATTTTAATGTCAGCTTTTTCAGCTATTTAAATTCTTTCTTTATACTTAAAACTTAAGATGAAATACTATTTATATCGCAGTTAACCCCATTTATACCCCTTAAATCAAACTAATAAGCAGGTATCATAACTGCCAGGCTGCATAAAAAATTATGACCTACTTTCAAATCATCGAAAACACGGAATTCAGTTCGTAAAGGGTCATAAAAAATTGTTTTTTTATGGATCTCTTCTGATGGGTGCTTTTTGAGTATAGGAATTTAATAACTGGTTAAATTGGACACTTACCAGCCAGTACCGAGGTGGAGTTGTGGCGGGGATCATAGGGACAGACTGCCTGGCCATTCTTGGTGGCCTCCAGGGTGTAGTTGCTCTCGCTGATGAGGTACGTGTTGCACATGGGCCGGAAGGAGTTGGTGCCACAAACGAAGAGGCGGCCCGGCGATGGCACCACCATGATGCGAATGTAGTTCTGGCAGGCCTCCTGAAAAGGGTTTAACGAAAGAGGGGTGTTTCGTAAGTAAATGATGTATATTTGCATATATGTAAAGAAATAATATTTAATCCTGATAATCAATTATATTTCAGTTCAATTGATAAATCCACAGCTAAATCAGTAGTTCAGATAACTCCCTCACAGTTTATCCAGTATGTTGACCTACGGGTGGAAGTTCAAAGTTTATGCTTCCATATCGTTCGACTATCTGTTTTGCATAAATGTTCGCCAATTGAAATATTTAGTGCATGCTCTACAAAAACAAACAACGACTGTGTTCGACTGCATGCAGATGGTGGGTTCTGTGTTCTGGTTTCTGGATCCTGGGTCCTGGGGCTGTGTGCACCTGTGCGCAACCCAATAAATATTAAAAGGCAAATGCGCAACTCGCTCCCAGTTAGCAGCAACTTTTCTCATAGTGGCGGAAAATTGTTGCATGACATTTCCGGCGCAGTCCCCCCGCCAGCCGACCCGCTCTGTGTCACAATTACGGCCGGAAGTGTTTGCACTCTGACATGACAAATCATTTGAAATATTCCCTGCAAGCCATTCTCTCTTCACCGTGTTGCCATGTGTGTTAAAATATAATACATTTTTGTTAGTTGGCAACTAATTGGAACAGGTTTTCGCTATATTTATAGGGACAAGAGAACTTACGATTTTACGCAGGACTTAAAGATAGTCTTCTAATAATTTAAACTTTATCAAAAATAATGCAAAATTATAGGCAATTATTTGCTAGTTTACTAACTATTTTAATTGGAATATCTAACTCAGATTAAATTGCTTCGGAAATGACTAGCTTTAAGCCAAGTTCAATTGCAAATATCTCCGCTTACCCACATAATTGGATCGTCATCTAATTGGGTTCTGGCTGTCTTGTATTTGATTTAGTTTATTGTCCAGAAATATTTAACATGTTCCTGACCCTGTTCTGTGCAGCCAACTGTGCGAGCGTAAATTTAAATGAATTAACAAAACAATTACACAAAGATAGAATGGGGTTGGTTGTAAAGTTGTAGTTTTCATTATTTCTCTGGTAATTAACACGCACAGCAGACGCGCACACACAGACAGACATTGTTTAGAATGCAATTAACTGTGAAATTTATTAATTTTCAGTTGAAATACAGCGGCTGTAATTTGTGTTTACCGCTTGTTAATAAATATTATTTTATTTTTTTGCTTTTAGTTTTGTGGTACTTAAAAATGTGATTCTCATTCCAGGCTTTTATAAATAATACGTATTTTATTTAGTTGAAATGTAAGTGCTTAGCAATATTTTTGAGTCTGGAATGTTGTAGGAAAATAATTTGTCTAATATTAATTGAGCGCAAATATTTAAATGTAAAGGGAGGTGGTGTTTGCCTTCTCGCTATATATTTACGGAATCTAAATATACATAAGCTGTTTTTATAATTTAAAATTTGGCTTAAAAGCATATAAAACCCGATATTGTATAAGGACAGGTACTAATGCTAAATTACAAACAAATCTTGAGCAAACCTACCTCTAACTGGCACCTATAATTACCCAAGACATTTTAACCTCACAGCATTAAATTTCTTAATAGCAATGCATTATTTTTCTTTGCTTCTACCCATAATTTTAAACTTAAGTCACAGCAAGAACCTGAAAAAAGTTTTCATGTTGACTGTCTCATTTTCAGACAACCCGTAGACCCTTTTTTCGTTGCGAACGGCGGGTATAATTATCAAGTAAAGCGCTTTTTCGTGTCCCGTCCTCTAGGACTTGTATCGTGTTTGTATATCATTAACGAAACTGTTGCCTACCTGCAGGCGCTTTGGCAGCAGTCAAAAATATTTTCGGAGACTTTCTGCTAGGAAGTTTCCCGCCCTCCGAGCTGACAATGAACTTTTCCATGGCCCTGGGATTGTGGCTTCGACTGACTTGGCCATGTAATATATACTATTATTTAAGTGTTTTAATTGCTTGTATTTATTTAGTTTCAATTTCTTAAAGGATCAAGTCTGGATCGATATTCCGTTTAATGAATATTGGGAGCAGCCTTGCAATGTGCACCGCAGCAGCTCGAACAAGTCCGATAAATGAGTTGTGTGAATTGAGGTTTGAGCCAGGTTGATGAAGGATGCCAGCAGCACAATCCTGTGCGTGTTCTGGCAGACAAAAGAAGGCCAAAGTGTTCGCCAAACCCTGCATAAATTCACCGGCACTTTCCAATTGAACAACCGACCACTGAAGGAGCAGCTCCTTTTCAGTCTTCGGATTGCACCTCTGGGCAGGAGAAATGCTGCAACGGAGCCATTTGCAAACCAAATCGAATGTTTAATGAGGAAACAAGAATGGGCCAACGTAGGCGATGCTTTGTGGTCAACCCAGCAACGGGTGATTAAGCCTCCGATCGGCATGTGCAGTTAATGAGGATAATAATCGTCTTGGTAACCAACAGAAGGAGTTTGGTTTGTGTAAGGGAGGCCATTTCCTGAACTTGTACTCAATTTCCTTGATTTAATTGAACATTTTTAATGGTTATTTGACTTATTTGGTTTGGTTATTTCCAGTGAAATGCCCTCAAGTTTAATTCACTCAACACCTTGAACAGAAAAATATTTATCTTTCATTTTGTGCCAGTCTACAGGACACCTTTTGCATTTTTTATAAATCACCCATTGCCGAGAATACACACATATATATATATTGGCTGCTCATTTTGCCCATCAACCCGGGGGACTGGCTCATGCGAGCGGTGTTTACGCAGTTTTAATAAAATATAGCCAGAGAAAAATCAATTAATTAAACATTTAACACCCAGCTGGCGGTGAACTGGCGAAGTCAAATGGTAAAATATTAAAAAAAAGGAATAAGCATGACTTTAGCTGGATCTGAATTTGCCTTAAAGGGACCTCCTCCTTGGCTAACTATATATGGCGTGACTCTATATATATTTTGTAGCCTTAAATGCATTCTGAGTTAGAGGTTTTCGGTCGCCCATTCTGTGGCTGATTATCGCCTTGATTAAGTTGACGTATTCGCATCCAAATTAGTGGCCAAATGCTAGTTAATTAAAATTGTAAATTTTGAACTTTCTTTCTTTCTTTTTGGTTTCTATTTTCGCAGCCAAGGAAATGCAATTTATTTTTTGGGGAAATGGCAATCCTGCACGCCATGGCTGGAAATCTAAAGAAACTTTAATTTCGTTTCCACCCTTTTTTGATGCCATAAATAACGTGACCCCCTCACACAGACACACACACAGCACCCTCTTAGCTCAGGTGAAGGCAAATTGAGTTCAACAAATTACACCTGCTAATGCTCTGCTTCGCCTTAGCCTTACCTTACCTTTGTTGGTGCCTTTGCTGGCTTTACAATTGCCAAGGCACGCTGGTGGCCAACAAGTGTTGGCTAATTACGTGAGCAAAAAGCCAAACTTGAAGTGCACTTGGGCATGCACAGAAAAGGCGTAGGATCTGGCGGAAGTGCTGGGTGGTAACCCTCTCTTTGGGATTCAATTGACCTCAAGTTTCAGGATTAATTTAAGAGCATAAATTACTGTACAAAGTTCACGTGTATAAATGTTGGTTGAAGGTTATATAAATTTCATTTAATCTAAAATTATCCAAAAAATGTACTATAAAAGAACTAAACATAAGTTTTCTGACTTATTTAATCTACTCTTGTTAACCTTAAACATTCTTTATTTCAAAAGTAGTATAACAATGTACTTCAAACAATTAAAACCCCATTTTAAAGTCCACAAAACTTGCATTTCCATTAGTAAAAGTTTGCTTTAGGTTTCCTGCTTTTTCCTACCTTCCCTAAGGACATTTACTCCTGCCTTCTCTGCCCCTGCAAGCAATCACTTTCTTAATAGGTCAACAGCAGTGGTAAAGAGGTTTCAATAAATTTTGCTGACTTCTTAGCCACAAAGGAGAAAGGCAAAACAACGGCCAGGACAGCAAAAGAAAAAGTTGCATAAATCAATTTCTTCTTGTCCTGCCTTCGCCATAGTTTTCCATGTTTTTTAGCGCGAAAAAAGCTAAGATAGATGGCGAAGCGAAAGAGAGAAAGAAACACTTTATTTAGGTTGTTCTTGTGTTCAACGGAAGCAGCAGCCAAAGTTGAAATCGAAATGGAAATAGGAATGGAAATTGCAAGGCCATCGGGCCAAAGTGCTAAAAAGTTTATATAAAACAGCAAAAGCACCACAAAAAGTATACATAAAATTTGTATTTCGGTTGCTAACTAACACGCAAATTGTATTTCAGGTATGTCCTCGGGGAAAAGGAAATTGTCTTTTGCTTGGCTCCTTATTTGATTTTCTTTAAAGGTAAATTGAACTTGGCATTTTGATGTTTAGTGAGGAATTGTGGTCTTAGATTATTTTAAAATTCAAAAATATTATTACTACTGTTAAAACACTATATGTATGCTTGACTCACCTCATCCTTGCCCTTGACGAGACACATTTTGGTGTCATCCTCCGGCGACGTCCAGACCAAACGCTGCTGCTCAGTGAGATCGTGTATGCTTAAATTAAAAACCGTATTTCTGCAAGAGACAAAAAACAAAGAAGTGACATGAGATAAGAAGAAGTCCATTCATCGTAGGAATGGGAAATGTAACCCACAGATAGAATTTGTGCGGTTTTCGTTTTATCATCCTTATCAGTGAGAGAGAGTTGGGTGAGGGTCAGCTTGTGGCTGCGGAGAATTAATTAAAAAATTAATTAAAATTCATTTGGCCTTTTAACGGTGCTGGCAATCAACACGCAGCCGGGGACCAGGACGAGGACCCGTGGCAGGACCACAAAAAGCCTCTGGTCTATGTTTTGCTTGCCTTTTAACCCCTTCACCTTCTCTTTCTCTCTCACTTCAATGCGATATTTGTGCAGAAATTCCAAAATTCTCGTTAATAAAATTTGCACACTCACATGTGGTGCCCGCCCGACCTCTTCGGTGTGTGTTGTACGAGTGCGAGGCGTGGGTGAATTTCATAAAATCAACTCATTGATTATTGAAACCACAACTACGTGAACGTGGGTGTGTGTGAATGTGTGTGTATGAGTGTGCGGTTAGTGCACCTTTGTGTGGGTGCTCTCTGGTCGGGCATTTTATGGCAGCCAAGCCATGTCAGGAAATCAGCCATCACCGCATTCGACCACCCCAAAAGCCTGAATCCGAATAACACGGCAGCCTTATCGAAACTTTCTGAATTTTATTTTATTTTTCTGTTTTGGAATTCAGCCAAAAGACTGGAAAATTTTAAATAAATACATATGTAGATATGGGCAGCAGAGATAGGTTCTATCGCATTTGTGAGGCTTGCATGCAGAATGGAGAATTATTTGAAACCTGAATGAAACTTTTTCAAGGCTTTTGTATTTCCTTAATTTGTTTGTGTTAAATTATATATTTAGTACAAAAATCCTAAATTATATTACATTTTTATATCAGAAAAGTTGCACTACTTAAGTGGTTCCTACATTTGCCAACTCGTATTATCCAGTCGACTGACCAACTGTGATTTAAATGGGCCAAAGGATGCTTCCCTGTACAGGACACTCCCATTGTTTGGCAATTAAGCAGCGCGTTTTAATTATGGAATGGCAAAGGCGGCAACTTCAAACGAACATGCACCATCAGCAACATGACGGCCACATAGCAACGTTACAAAGTTGCTGCAGCTGCACTCTTCCGTTGCAACTGCTGTCACCGCCTCCTGTTGCCAGGACTACTATATACCTACACATACATACGCGTACCCGAGTACATATAAAATGTCCTGAACCAAATTAGCATATAAAGAGGGGGGACAAAGAGTCGGCGGGGGCCCTGAAATGGGTCGGACCCGGGCCAGAAAGCCAGGTGCCGCCTGGCTGCAGTGCCAATGGGTTGAGCGAACTGTGCAAGTAATGCAGCGGAAGTAAAATACTGGATACGCTGATCAAAAGAGATTAACTAAGTAGGATAAAAGTATATGTTTCTCTTCTTAGTACTACTTTTTCGGGACTAATTAATCGTATTATTTTACATTGTAGGATAGGAGCTTGAATTCTGATGGGGAACCTCATGAGATCTACTTAATCTGAACCTAATGAGTACCTATTTTTTTCTGATAAACCTTGAAAATACTAAGCTTTTTTCCAGCAACTTACTGCGGAGTCCGTACTTGAGAATTTTAAGAGCAATTATTGCAGATTAACTACAATTTTCACCTGAGGTATTTTTAAAAACCGCACAAAAAGGGTGTAGGTTTTTCCCAATGTTGCTCTTCTGTGAATCTGTTGTTACTTTTTTTTGTGTAGTTGCCGTTGCTATCGCAGTTACTGGCTTCCAAAGCACACAAACACATAAACACTTTAGCGCATTGCTTAACACACACATAGGCCAGGCACAAGCGTTTGTGAAAATGTCGCGGAAAATGGCAAAGGAAAACTCGGGGGCACCGAAGGGGAGCAGGGAAGGCGGGTAACTGAGCATTTTAAAGAACGCATTTGGCGTGAAAACCGAGCTCATAAATATTTTCCACACGGCGAAGTGCGTTAGTGTTGCTGTGTTTGCCCCAGTTGCTGTTGTTGCAAGCGCTGAACGCAACGATTACGAAGGATTTCCACTGCTTTTGCCCCGTGTTGTGTGTGTGTGTGTGTTGTTGTGTGTCGTTGGCTCCTGCTGCAGTTGCACATTTAGCAACAATCCTTGTTGTTGCCGCCGCTGCTGCTGCTGCTTTGCAGTTTATTATTATGCAGCTTAAACGCAGTTGGCAAATATAAAGGGGAATGTGTGCGAACTTCCTCTATGAAAACGTTTACATTTAGTCGCATGAAACGGCGCTGATAATGAGGCGGCACCGATCCCAGGGAACTATAGAAATATTTGTGTATTTTGTACTTGAATTTTATGACTAAAACATGTAACTAGAAATTACTAGATTTTTAATCTAGATCAAGTTTTAAAAAAATTAAATTAATATTAACAAATTGATTAGCTTAAATCGAATTTGTAAGCTGCTTTCGACATATAAATAAAATATATGACAAATACAATTAAATTTGTATTCGATTTCTATTTAATTTTAAACTTGCCCGCAAACACAAGTAATTTTAATACATTTATTAATTGCATAAAAATAAAACTTATCCAATAAAATTGTTTCTATGGCTGTGAAGGCCCATTAAAATATTTTCCAATTATTATTTTTAACTAGAACACGAGGATAAATACAGGCAGATCAGTGTGTGGGGGTGTTGTGTGTGATAACTAGGCAAATCAGGCGAAACAGCATTTTGCGGGAAGAGCATTTGATGCCAACGCCATGGTTTCAAATATTTGCGGTTTGCGGAGATGCCCACGGAGCCCCAAAATAATTCGTGGTTTTCCCCGAAATGAGCACAGTTTCGTTTAAATATATTTTAGCTAAATACTGTAGTATATGGAAACTGTTATGCAACATTTATATATGCAACAAAAAATAATTAAAGTAGCTTTTAAGCTCTTAAATATCACAAGAGACAATCAGTGAATTGGCTACTGTGACAAGCCACCCGCAAGAGTTATTTAAATACCAAAAATAACCTGCAAACAGCAGGCATTGGATATTTATTTGCCAAAAACGAAATTTAAATTCGTTTAAAATCCGTTCTGTGATGGCCACCGTCTTTAACCAACCAACAACAACAAACGACCGACAAACAAATCAACCATCCGCCACGTTGCCAGCCATCAAACAGCAATAATAACAACGACAGCCAGCAGGAAAACAAAACCCGCAGGCAGCAGGCAGCAGGCATCGGGCATCAGGCAGCGGGACCCTTTTCAAATATCAGTTGAGCGAAAAGAGGCAAAACGAAACAACAGCCGCATGCACATAAATAATGGCATTGCGGTTGAGAAGCCCCCACAAAACCCCACCAAAGAGGGTGTATATATATCCAGTGAATCCTCCTCCTTCTAGGTTCGTCATAAAATAGATGGGAGCAACCTCTAACGAGGCAAGACCCGGGCCAAGGAGGGAACTCGTGTCGCCATCGCTACCGCCGCCATTTCTGTGGTTTGACCCACAAAAAGTATCCAAAAGAGAGCCCGAAACAACAAACCAAATGTCTAGACCCAAAAGCGAACAAGAACACAGATATATTAGCGAAGAATAAAGAGAAAGACGAAGAAAAAGAAAATTTTCCAAATTACTCATACGCAGTGTTGCCGATTGGCATGACCTTGGCAGGCAATTTCCCCAGTCTTTCCTCTGTATTATGAATAAGACCATTTCAGTGATTGATTTCCAAGAAAAATTTGCTAGGTGACATGTAAATATTTCGGAATTATGTTAATAAAACAAGCTTATAGGCTGTGGTAAGTAGAAAATTATTTCTTTGGAAAGTACATTGAAATCCTTGTTAGGTACTTGAAGCGTATAACAACTTCAAACTTGGGAAGGATTACTAAACAAGTTTTCTTGCTTTTGAAGCATTTCACAACCCATTTTACGCACTCAGGTAAAACCTTATCCTCTCTAGATATCAATTTCTTGTATCCATAGCCAATTGAGTTGACAAATTTGCCGGACTATAGTCATCAGAAATGCCATGCCGGTGAAAAATGTCAATCGCAACCGTTCAATGTCACACGTCATCAGCGCCCCAAAGGAATGCCCCGAGGCAATCAGGGAAAAGAACACTCGACTTCCGGTATGCATTGATGCATTGATGCGATGATGCCGATGCTGCAAAGTCTGGGACGGGCTGACATGACGGTAAATGGCTTTTCTGAATAGCTAAGCAAATCAGGCGAACTCCAGCTTCAGCTCGAACTCCTCATGTTGCCCAGCTTTCGAGACTTTCGTTCGGGGGGAAAATTTATGTTGTCGCCGCCATTTGCATGCGCTCTGTGTCTCCTTCCGCCATTTGCCGACTCATGTGAGTGGGTGTGCGAGTATGTGTGTGAAATGGCAGCCATTGCAAAAAATTATTGAAGCGCAGCAGGGAGAGGGAAATCCTGTACTCACCCAGCACATCCATCACTATTTCGAGTTGAGCTTTTGTCATTTTTCATTGACTTTTGACTGTGCCAGGGTTACGTAGGGCTTCAACTTCAACTTTATTTCACATCATTCGGGGATGCTGACTAAACCGATTCGGTATCAAAAAGGCTCCACCACAATTTACACTTGAATAATTATTTAATCAAGAGTTGAAAGAAATTTAAATGAGTTTTTAAAAGGGTTTTTATTCTTGAGATAAAATAAGTTCATTTTTCTGGGCTTTAATTTTATTCTTATTCACTTTGATACTATAAAATGTTTCTTTTTTCGAGTGCATCTGGGCAGCGTAAACTCTTCCAATTTCCCTGCTATTGAGCAAAGATTTTTCTTTTGTGCAACGAGCCCTGCTAAAGCGTACCTCAATCCAGGACCATTTCGTCCTGTGCCACTCACTCAATGGAGGCAGAAAACGTCGAAACTGTCAAATGCCAAAAACCCAAATGTGGATTGCCTGAGAGCTCAGCTGCTGCTGCTGACCCACAACTCCGGTTCGATTCGGTCGTTGCATGCAACTCAACCTGGGGGCCACTGCCTCCGCACCGCCCACAAAGCAATCGGAACAGTTGACCAGGTGGCTGCTTTTGACCTTTACCCCCAGGCCAAGTCAGTTGCAGAACGCCATAGGCCAAACATGACAAAGCGAATTGGACTTGGCCATTGAGTGGCTGCGGTATTGGAATATTCTCGACTAGGCCTCAACTATATTGGCAGATATCAGCTACTTTTCATGCAAATATCAATTGCCTGCTGGTGTTAGCTTGTGGCATAACTTGATATTACTAATTGGTTAAATTAATGCGTTGGAGCAAGTTTTCAAAATACTTTTTAAAGTATAACATTTATAAAGCCCTTTTCCTTATTTTTTCAATCATCTTTTAGATGTAAGCGATACCAAATCCCAGAACAATGCCAGACAATTCAATTGAAATCATTTAATCCATTCATGCCTAAGGCCTGGTGGAATTGGCCATACAAAAGTGGACTTAAATCGCTAGAAATTAGCGGATGCGTTTTCTGCATTCATACAGAGGCAAGTGGCACGCGCAGATATCAGCGAAAAAAAAACCAGAGCAAACGGAAATGAATTTGCGGTGCAAAAATGATTGTTGTGCGGTTGCACAAAGGCTCAGCACACACACACACATACACACAACAGCAACACAACACACTCTATAGAAGAACAAGGACGAAATGAAATAAAAGATGGACATTGCCGGGAGAATGTGTGTGCGCCCAAAAAGGAAAAATGCATACAAAAATTGGAATGTCACAGTGGAACCTAAAGTGTGGGTTTTTTGTGAGATTAAAGTAGAAAATTGTTAAATAATTATTTTTCTATAAGAAAATTGAGTTCTAATTTATTTTTTCTCTAAAGATGTAAGTAATTAAATTTACATAAAGTCAAATAACCTAAATAGTTGTTGTTCTGACCACTGTTCGATACCATTTCGTTGAAAAAGACGTTAAAAGTTAAGAGATAGGCCGAAATATAGAGCACACTCCGAACCAGATGGTGGAGAATGAGACGGAAAAACAGAGAAAGAGGTGGAGAATGAGACACAGAACAAGAGATAGAGAGGGAGAAAGCGTATGAATCAAGCTCTGTTAGGCAACGAAATGGTTTTTTCCTTTTGTTCGTTTAGCAATTTTATTTCCGCCTTTGTCGCGATATATTCGATTGCCTGCCAACCTGATATGGCGGGAATGGAACGGAAAGGAACGGAAATGAAACAGAATGGGATGGGTATAGAGGAATGGGCATCGGGTATGGTGGCATGGCATGGAATGTGGCACTGACAGCATGGAAAATCGCTGGCACATATTTTCCATCTTAATGTGTTAACCCATTTTTCATGTCGAGCGCATTGCAGGCAGGGAAACAGATATACATATTAAGATCCAAGGCAAGGCAACATTTTCCGCTGAGTTAAGAGCCAGCGATTTGCAAAGGGAATTTTCCATTACAGAAGGATGAAGGAAGAAGGAAGAAGGGAAGGTGTCGTCCCCGTTTAGGCAACAATTTCAAGCTAATTTGCATAAGTGACATAGTGGGTTACAAGCAGTAATGGTAGAGGTAGTCAATGTAATGAGCTTAAAGTCTAAGCAGGAATTTGAATTCCAATGTAGGCGAGGTTTTTGTTGTAATAACAATATATTTGTCTTGATAACTCTTTTATATTTATCGTTATCCCACAGTTTGGTACATTTCTAAAGAAACTTGAAATAGATTAATGATTTTGCTGCTTCTTAAATTCTGGTTCTAAATCAATTGAAAGAATTTAACCCTAGAAATAAATATTTGCAGCTGATTTAATTGTTTTAATCGATTCATTTAGGTCGCAAATTAACTACGATTACATTGTTAAACTATAAAAAAAATCCCCTCTCTTAAAAGCAAATTTTTAAGCCATTCTCAAGCCAATTTCAAGGGGAAACCCCCTTTGCGGCTGGTTTAAGAATTCATCTTGACATGGCGGCCGCCTTCAGGTGCGGGACACCTAACATGGTACCTGCTGTGCCACAGGAAATGTAACGGTACAGCTATGTCAAAGGGGAATGGGCCGGGGACAGGTGAGCCAAGGTGCAATTCTGTTGTAGAACTTTCCCTTACCATTTTTCCTTCTTCAGAGAAAGTTGTTGTTGCTGTTGTTCCACATTGTTCATGACGTTTCACATGCAAAACGCGTGTCACATTCGCATTTCCGCCTGTCATCCTAGTTTAGAGGGGGCCCCGCACCGACACACACACACACATGCACACTTAAGCACACGTGGCACTTTTGGGCTTCAACAACAGTCGCCAACGGTAAGGTTTTCCTTCGGTTACTTTGACTCTTTTGGGGTCTGATAAGTGGTTATGTGCGTGTGTGAATTCCCGCATCCAATGTCTGCGTGTGTGTGTATGTGTGTGAGCAACTTGTTAAAAATCCATTAATCACGTAAGTGGCAACTCTGGCAGCGACATTGCCGGCATACAAATTCGTTCATGCGTGCGAAAAAAAGAAAGCTGAAAAGCTTCCATGGACACCCCAACCCCTTCCAGGCGTTGCCTGTACGTGTCTGTGAGTGTGGGGTTCCCCTAATTTTCCTGCTTTAGATATCCTTTTGCCTTTTTACTGCCTCATTATCCTTTTATTGTGAATCAAGCAAATTATTTTATTGAAAATATTTCGACTTATTTCTGGTCTATGGAAATTAACTCTTGATTAAAGTGACAAATTTCCTTCTATATTTCGTTTTTGGATAATAAGTACTTTAGAAATAGTTGAAACCTGAAAAGGTATATTGGAGAGTATACTTTTAAATGTTAAGTGTCTTTTTCTGAGACCTTTCATATCCTTAGAGAAACTCTTAAACAATTCCTGAATCGCAGAGGATTCCCCTGAAGTAAATGTGAAGTCAAAACCACTTAAAATAGTGCAAAAAAGTATTACACCTATCTGACACTTTTTTAGACTTTCAGACAAATCTCTCCAAGAATATATATGTTTAGTAACACAAAACTAAGCCTCTTCTCAGTTCAGTTTATAGAAGATATTATTTTCATTTATTTTCATTTGGAATTGTTGTGGCTTTCTCGCATTGCTCTGCTCCGGGGGCTGGGCTCGGTTCCATGTGCTGATGTCTTGTATTACAAGCTGCACGCATTCCTTGGTCACACAAATTTCGAGGACACCACATACTTATACTGTCGCAAAGCAGAAACTGGCAAGTTTATTAAGTCCGGTTGGGCGCCCCGAAGTATGCAACATTTTAATATGTATGCCTCTCCGCCTTTCCACGAGTGCGGAAAGAGCTTTTGGTTGAATGTTTATGTGGGTATGCCGGTTGCTGGGGCATTGTCTAGGCGAAATATAATAAACTCAACATTTGCAGCAAACGTCTTTTGCGGTCCTGCCAACGACAAAATTTACGAAATACAGACAAAGCCGACCCGGTGACGCCGCTCAGGAAAAACCAACACCGACAACAGCAGAGTTCCAACCTTGGCAACCCTTTAAGTCTTCCGGGAATCCTCGTGGAGTAGAAACTACTACTACTAGTACTGCTACTGCTACTGCGGGTGGAACTTTAGCACAGTTCCTCATATCTTTGGGGCACCTGCTGCAAAAGTTTCCGCTTCCTTTCGCTCTGTTTTTTGTTTCTCTTGCCAGCGCGTTGCAAAATCAAAGTTGCCACGAACGAACGAGCTAAGGAACCTTCACTCTTCCACTTACACATACACTACCCATATTTGGGCCCCTGAGAAAGTTTGTCATGTTTGTACGTATGTATGGGTAAGTGAACATGGTCGTATCTTCTACTTAAATTAAATACAATGTGTGCGAAAAGTAAATTGAAGTTTGCTTTATGTGAATTTTACACTAGTCTGTTATATCCCCGAGCCGTCACAATTTCTCATCCTCCTTTTATTCCCACTTTCCCCCGCCTTCAATAGTTTCTCCTTGAACTTGTTTAACAAATGTTCTAAAGCAGACTTACATGGATTGGTTGAATATATAAATTCACCTTGAGAAATGTGGTGCCTTCTTGTTTTTAATATATTCAAGGTTTCTTGGAGTCCTTATTTATAATTTCTATAATTATTTGATACTTTTGGAGAAGTTTAACTAAAATAACCCATGTTTTCCGGAATTAGAATGAAAGTTTTCTTTAAGCAAAGTAATCTATCGGTTTTATAACTTTTAATAATACAGAGAATAATAAGGAATATCCCATTTAAAAGATAAATAGACACTTACCTGGCACCGATGAGCAGACTGTTGCCATCCTTGGTGACGAGCTTGAAGTGATCCACGACACTATCGTTGCCCAGAAACTTCATTATATCTTCGGGACCTGCAAATAGGAAAATAAAGAGGATTATAAATAAATTGCAAGAGGCAAAGGCAACGCCTCTGTGAGCGGAAAGTGGCTCTGAGACAGATGAGTTGGCGGTGGGATGGTTGTGGGTCGCAATGCAAATGCCTAATTAGGCAATTAGGCGGCGTTAAAGGCGACAAAAAGCTTTTGAGGGAGAAATAAAAGGAAAAACGGAAAGCGGATGAGCCAAGTAAAAAGCGTCAGAGGGTCTGTGCGAAAAGGGACGCGGTAAATGCGGCAAAATGGCGGCGCACAGGGAAACAATGCAGCTGGAGTTGGGAGTTCTGGGCTGGGAAATGGGAAATGGAAATGGGTTTGGGGATCAGGATCGGGAGAAGAGCTTTGCCCCAGATGATGATATGCAAAAAAGGGAAAAGCCCGTTTAGCAACGGCAACATAATCAGCAGCTGCATCAGCCAAAGTAAAGTACAATTTCTGTCGTTTGTTTACTTCGCTTATTTGCATTCACTTTTTGCAAAGCAGCTCCGGAAAATCTTTTTGTTGGTCGCCACTTGCCGCCACAAACTGCAGTCAGTCCATATCGTCGCTTTGACTGACCGACAAACAGAGATTCAGGATAAAATGATGATGACGAAAGTAAACCAGCCATGGAAATATATAATTTAACGTTTTAAGGAGATAATATTTAGCATGAGAGAGTGTTATTTCAAAAAGTGTATATCTCTTAGCTCTTTTTAATAATTTTCTCTTTACCGCACATTAAATACTTCCCCTCGGTAGCTGATGTTGCATCAGCACCAGGTAAGCATTATTTTTCCCTTATTTTAACCCCAATTCCCACCCTTTTTTTTTGGCTTTTTCAGCGAGCTTTTAACTTTTAACTGCAAATGTTCGGTCAACCACACAAGAGCGAAAAAGTTTTCCTCGCTTTTTTCAACTCAATGCTCCTTTCAGCGTCGAACGAGCAATGTGGGCAGCGTGGGAAGTGGGGCAGGAGTCGAAGGATGCCACCTGGTTATTGAAAGCACATTTGGGCGCTTTTCCTGCTCGTCCACTTTTCATTTCAACGGAGCGCACAAAATAAAAAGAACAGAACTAAAATAAATGGGCAGAATGAGCGTTTTTATGTGCGAGACGGGAGAGCCTTTTGTTTACTTGACATTTAACGTGACACGCGGGACATGTGAACAACTGTGGGGGCGGCGGGGGAGCCTGGGTGGGTGTGGTAGCTACAGAAAAAGTTGAAACCTGAACACAACAAATGAAGCGACATTTTTGTAATGTTGCTTCTGTAATTAAAAGTAACAAAAGCAACCAAACTGACAAGTAGAAGAAAAGCAGCAACCGGGACAAAAGCTGGCGAAAGTCAGGACGAAATTAAAAACAGTATGGAAAAATAATTATTGCCAAGAAAAACGTGAAAAAATGTGACAAAGAAAGTAAAATAAATGCAGGAAGATGGTAGGGCAGGACAGGAAAAAGTATTTAAGTTGGCATAGAGTATAAAAACAATTGTAGGGGAAAGTAATGAATGGAAGTAAATTAAAAGTAACATATTATGTGGTTTTTTAGAAAAGCTTTTCTTTAAATTAGTGAATAGAATATATAATTATATTATATAACATTTGCAACATCTTTAAAATTTGCTTCTTATTTGCTTTATATTCTTTCGAGTTCCCAACCGTTTTAACCATTCTCATTTGTATGATAATGTCTCGCATTTGTTGTCTCTCAAGGCGGCTAGGCTAGCTAGTCATTCACAAAGGACCTGCCATCTCATTACTCACCCTGCTGCCCGGGGCACTCTTTGTGCGCTAGTAGTACGTCCAACTTTTGTTTAATGCCACCACCAAGGGCCTTTTGTCGACCTGGCCGAAAAAAACTTTGTAAGCCCAAAATTGTAAGCTAATATTTGCGTTACATACATCTGCACACAGTGCACTATGGGGAATTTTGCCATTTCCGTGGTATTTAGTCATTTTATCAAAATTTAAATATTTGAGTTTTTTTTATGTAAACATATTAAAAATATATGGCTCTATAAAATGTAGTACCAGAAATGTTAATTAACAGTGCACTGTTAAGCCTATCCACTGTTAAAGTCGGCTGTTGTAGCCAAAATGCACGTGATGGAAAATAGCTATTTTTTATTCGGTTACTTTGAAATTGGAAAACTAAAAAGTAGAACCAATTTTTGATTAAAGTTTTGATGGAGACCAATAGTACTGGTAATTATTATATGTTGTGTCTACTAATACATTGATCTGTGCTTGTCTTACTGATATATTCCGATTTTTCTAAGTGTTCCTCTAAGGAAATTTTTTTGAAAAAATATTTCACTTTGAAGAGACCTATAAAAAATATATGTCTTTGTATTGCTGTACGTCCGATATATGTTGTAGAGGCATTCATTCTAAATAAAAGGCAATTTGTCTCAATGTGCACAAATCCGCACAATCTGCGTAATTTAATTTTTTTTGCAGGTCTTTTCGAGCAAATTTTACCAAGAAAAAACCATTTTTCAGGTTAATTACATATAAATATTAATGTGTCAAATCATTTTACCTTTTTAAAAAGCAAAAGCAAATTTTTTTGCATTAATGTAAGTGCCAAATGGAAGTTATTGGCGAATTTGAAGGCCTGGACCACTTTTATGAATAAAATGAATATGAAAATGACGTTTTTTATTTTATATCTGATTAAGAGCTTAAAAATGAAGACAATGTATTTTTTTTATTATGTCTATAAAACATATTGTTGGAATTAAAAAAAAATCCACCTTATACACTTAAAAAAAAAAAATTAAAAATACAAAAATCGTCAAGCGAGGGCGGAACCACGCCCATTTTTCCAAAAAACATTTCTTATGGAGTCCATAGCTATAATAAAAAAAACCGTTTCGAAATATATTACTTAGTTTAAAAGTTATTAATTAATACCATGAAAATGGCAAAATTCCCCATAGTGCAGTGCCCGGGCAGCACAGACACACACAAATACTCACACACACACACACGCACACATATCTGCATAGACGACAAAGTGGAACCGGAAAGGAGCGAAAAATTCCGCAACCAAAAATCTAATATTTACCTTGACTTTGCAAAACGCCAAGCGGCGGCGGCCGTCGGCGTTCCCAGTCCAATTCCGGTTACCCAGGGGCGTACATACCCGTTGTAACAGGCACACACTCATGGGTATGGCCATTCCAACAAAGGACTGGCCGCCAGACAGGATCGAGGGGAAGTGTAGAAGGCCAAAGAAAAAACGAACAGTGTCAGGGTCTATCACTTTAATCAACTGGACTGACTCCTCAAAATTATGCAAATTCAACGGAAAATAAAATAAAATTTCTGACGTACGGCTTCTAGAGTTTGGAGAGTGTGAAGTGGAGTAGAGTTCTCAGTGTTTGACATTGACTTGCGAACGTGACTGTGCAAGGACCAAGCCACTTAATGGTCAACTTCCTGGATTCCAGCCACACCGCTTGTACAAATCACACAGACCCAGCACCCGCGGAGTGGGGAGTCGACCAACAAATAAGCTCATTATTAAATATTTTCCTAATGAATTTTTCATTCGCACTTGCGGAATTCCTGAGATGGTGCCCCACAGGACCAGGTCCAGCTTCTCCTCCTCAGAACTACGGCAAATATTTACCCAAGATGGCGTCCGCTCGCAGGTGTGATGACCATTCCGCGGCCTCCATTCCCCACGTACATTTATATGCAAATTCCGAATGCATTTCGGAGGCGGCAAGGCAGCCAGCACGGGGCAGACAACAATGCAGCATTAAAAATGCAAAAACCTTTTCAGAAATGCAAGCCAAATGTTGCTCTTAGTGCTGCCGAGAGAACACAGGGAATAAAGACGAGCGGAAGTAAGGCGCTGTACGAAAAAGGAAGCGACGACAGTCTGTCAATAATAAAGGCTTCCGGCGAACAAATGCAAGACGGAGATTCCGTAGACTCTTAAGAACAGTATATATCATTAGGAAAATGATGTCAGAGAAAATATTTAATTTCTTAAATGGCTGGGGATTTGAAAACAATTAGAAGTGAGCCTAAAGGTATGCTAGACAATGTTGAAAATATGATTAAATTGTATTTTAGTTCTTAATTTATAGAAATTTAGTTTAAAACTTCGTTTACAGAAATATTAACTGAACTTTTTTAAGAAAAATTCAACTCAAGAACGTGAGCAGTTTAATCCCCGACACCTCTCATAAAAAATATATGAGTAGGAAAGGGCAAAGCCCGTGCTTTTGGCGGGTTGAAGGCGAAAGCGGCTTCGCTTTCCGGAAAACAAAATGCAGCGACGCGTGAAAAACATTTCCCGACTTTGGAATCGCTTCCACACTCTCTGCTCCGTCTCCTCCTACCTTTGAGCAGTGGAAAGGCAACAATAACACGGCGGCCGGGAAAGAGGAGGAGGAGGACAAGGAGTGGCAGAAAAAAATCCCTCGTTGAGATTTGCATTTAATTGAAATGAACGCCAACGGTCGACGGCGACGGAGAGGACACGTGAAATGGCCAGACCAAACCAGACAGAATCCGAATCCGCATTGGAATCTGAAACCAAATCGGACGCACAAAGGGCAGAAAGCAAAAGGCAGATACTCATTGGCCGACGGGGGGAGTTTTTGCTCCTGTGCCGGCTTCCCGAAATGAAATCTGAAATGAATGCCTCTGGCTGACCCTGGGAACGGGAGGACAGTTGGTCCGCCGCCATCTCCTTGGATTGAGTACCACCGGCGGCTTATCGGAAGGCTGCTTCATTGTCTTTTTATCTTGGCTCAAGCTCTTGGCCCAATTGCAGCGTTTGATTTGTTTTGTTCGGCCTTTCCTTTTTGGCCATTACCAGACTTGTCAATTTCGTTTTCTGCTGAAGTTTGCATCTTGATGGAGTTCCGCCGCACTAATGTCAGGGGGATTTCGGTGAATTCAGGTGTGAACGGAAGATTGCTAAAGCTAATCTCCGGAAATGCCACCACAAATTGATCAATGTTAGCTTCT